TTCAGGGTGGCTATGCTGTTTAGTGGGGTGTTGGCCATGATGTACAGATTATTTCAGGGTGGCCATGCTGTTTATTGTGGAGTGTGCATGTGCTGCTTAAGCCTCAATCACCAGCGAATACCTTATACAAATGGACAGTGGTGGGTCTGATTGGTCTTATAACAGGATCTCCTTTCTAGGTGAACTGCAAGTGCAATGATTGTGCAAGCCACAGTGCCTAGTAATGGTGAACTGCAAGTGCAATGAGTGTGCAAGCCACAGTACCTAGTAATGGTGAACTGCAAGGAGATTCCTTTGAGTGTTTCCGGACCTAAGCCACCAACAGAGCAGTGTATGACTGCTAATTGTTACAGTCAATATAGTTACCTAACTATCTAGAACCTAGTCAATACGTAGGCATGAAGTTCAGCTAATAGTGACTATAGCTGGAATTACACAGATAAATGCTAAAACAAACCATCATAGGACAAAGCAGGCCGGTGATTTCAGCAATAATGTGCTATTAAACAAGAAGCGTTGGTCTTTCCAGGACCTTCTGCAGTAATGTAATTAGAATCTACACTGTGTGCCAACCTAAGGGTGGTGTGATTAGGGGAGGCCTGGTCATCAAAGCTCATTGCAGCGCTTTGAGTGCTTTCATGGTTTTGCGCAGAAGCATTAACCCCGTTAAACTAGGTGTGCAGATTTGTACTCTGTATCATACTTAATTATTTATGAACCCCTTTCACAATGAGTCGGGTGATCTAGTCAGGGAGGTGCATCAGAACTAGCAAGATGAGCATACTGTAAACAGGACCATGGACAGCTCCTCCTGAGCCTCTTAGATCATCTCTCCTGTGACTTGCGTCATTCTTCTACTGTACATCTATTTTGATCATTTTAGTTCATATTCCAGTAACTTTTTGCTTGCTGTTTGGTTTTTCATTTGCAATTCAACACCCAGATTTGAAAGATGTCCTATTTATCCAGCACATAGCCACTGTTCTGTGGTTTCATCAGGTTATGAATATACCAGAGAAGCACAAAGGGCTACCTCAGAAAAGAGAACCGGACAACATTTTTAGATCCATGAGATCGCTTGGAAAACAGATGATCTTCTTTTGATGCTGTCATTCATATTTTATATTCAACTGCATAGTCAACTTTTCATATGGCCCCTCTATTGCTTATATGCAATACGACTGATATAAATGTTGCTTGTGATTATCAGGTAATTATTTACAATTAAGCAAAATAAAGATAAAAGTTGGTACCAAGAGATCAAAGTTCTATGAGCATGAAAAAATGGAGATAGGGTTTGAAAGGCTAAATGCAAACAATCATATGATCGGTTTGTGAATTTGAGGTCTATTTTCACATCTGACACCCTCTATTTGAAGTTTTTATAGTCTTACCAGGTTTTTGCTGGTTTGCTATCTTTCACCCACAATTCAAAAACAAAACTAAAAAAATCGGTTATTTAGATCAAATTGGTCTAGCATCTGGCTGGACTGTACAACTACAGAAGACATCAGCCTCTAAGAGGTTTTTTAACCAAAACTGGAGAGTGAAAATTATTCAGTTTCCAGGTTTTATTGTCAAAGCTTAATTGAACAAGCTGAAGTTAGAAGCTGATTGGCTAGCTTGCACAGCTGTACCAGATTCTGAATTGCACCAGTTTTAGTAAATCTCCCCCTAAGATTCTTTAAGGCAGTGAAACTATGCACAGTACTGAATATTTGGGCAGTGCACTAAAATAAGATATCAATACAAATTTATGGTTACCGTGGGTCAGTATGGATGCGGTGTGACTACTTGGAGAATAGGTCAAACCTTTGTTGTAATCTTTCAAATACCTGCCTTAAGATTTGAACATTTCTTGTGGTCACTTTTATAACATATTGGTAAAAATAATTGCTTTGCAAGTAAAATCTTTTATATCTGCTAAGCTTGATTCTAAGACCCTAAAAAAAAAATTGGGCATAGAGACCAGAAGGTATCAACCCTCCCTGACCTCCATACTGTCTAATCAGACAGCAAGAACTAGACTTGGGCAAAAAATACCAAATGGCAGGGAAAATCTTATTCGACTGATTGTTTGCTCAGAATTGGTTAACCACAGATGTCTACTCACATTTAAAGATGTCTTTGGATACAGTCTTCAATCATCTAATAACTATAAGCACCAGTTATGGATCCTTAAGTAATCTTTTCTCTGGGCAGACATTTAAGAGTAAAAGCACAGACAATATTTAATGTCTGTCTACAAATTCACATCATTAAAAGCCAGCTGAGTCAGCAAGGTTACACCTCTGTCTCCAAAATGGTTTTTCAATAAGAACAACAGTCATCTGCTAGTATGGTAACCCATGGCAAGCAAATAGGAAATAAACATATCAATCTGACTACAGTAAATTAAAATTGAATTGGTTGCCAGGGGTTTCTGCTCTTTGCGCTGCCTTATGGAATTAATCTATATATGGCTACTGACCAAATATCAGAATTTTTGTTTACTTGAAAAATCTTCCCTGCCTAAGGTCATTTTATATTTGACTTTCTGTTTTTTTTGCTCCTCAGGCTATTTATATCGAATAGCATGTAATTCATGCTGTGACTGCTTATTTATAACTTGCCATAAAGGTAGCCAACCTAATTATTGAGCATAGGAAAGAAGGGAATAACTCCAATCCCCCCCCGACACTCTCACCTACCTAGAATCAGTATAGCTGCTGTCAACATATGCAGGATAATATTATTTTCAATGCTAGATGTGAAACTTAGAGTTCATCTGTATAAAAGAAGCCATCTACTGTATATTTTTTCTATGCAACAGCAGCAATAGTGAATGGATGTGAAAATGCAACCCAACCTAGTCTACTGCTCTGATGTAAATCCCAGAGCTCTATGTATTGATCCACATCTTTCTGACAATCAATAGCAGTGTTTTATGAGGGCATTAAAGGCCCTTTCCACCCTCCAGGCACCGGACTGGACCTCTGCGCTGTTTAAACAATCAGATCCATGTGACCTCTCAATAGATTACATGGAATGCCATTATTTGTACTAAGGGATTCCCATCTACATAACATGGGGCACCTTTCTAGTTCTTGGCTATTAAATGGTAAATAAAGTAATATGCTTCATACTGCTTTATAACTGGTGTACTTTGTTAGAAAAAAAAAGATCATTATTATGCGTGTTGGGTGGGGCTAGAATCCCCAGGGCTACACAGATTTTTAGACTGGCTTTCCTTTGCAGAACTGTGTAATTTAATGCCTCTGATGAGACAGACACATGTAATGTAAATCAGCAAAATGATTAAATAAAGCAGTAGTGCAATGATAATGTGTAATTTGCAGTTTACAATGATTTCCAGATTTCATCTTTCTTTAATTAGAATCTGGTAAAATATTGAGGAATAGCTGTTGATTGCTACTATGGACTATTGTACTTCGCAGCATTAGCCTCCTTAAATGATAATTAAACCATCCTTAACAATTTAGTAAAATGATGCATTACATAAATGCAGCTTTTTTTAAAGACGTTTCTCTTTCAGAAAAATGTAAAGTATGTACTAGGTAGAAAGTGGAGAATTCAAGCTGCTAATTTGGAGCAAAATTAATCAAAGTCTAAGTGCATCATTAATTCATAATGCAGATCTGGTCTTATAGTGTAGCTCGAAGTTGAGGTTTGCACATTCAGGCTTGGATACTTGTAACTTCTTTTAAAGCACTACATAACGTTCTCCTGAATTTACCAAATTGACTGCTGGCCAGCTGACAGGCATTGCTGTCTTCACTAGTTTATTTCCCCTAGGGGGTATTATAGACAGCTGACATTGTCATCACTCTATGGCCAGGACAAAGGCAGCTGAAAGTGCAATTATTGTACAGGATTAAGTGCGTGCATGCGCTGCTGACAGTATGCTAACCTATAACAGTCTGTTAATGGAAGTTCCTTCTCATGTGACCGTAGCATGGGTTAAATTGTGCAAATCTGCTAACAATGACACATAAATCTTCACATGCTTGTCAAACACCGTCCCTCCCAATTTCTCAGTCTGATTAATAGAACAGGCTCAATCTTCAAATGCTGAGATGGTCAAAAAGTATATTGGATGCGGGAAGCAGCAGGGAGGAGTCTGAGCCATGCCATATCCCATTAACAGAGGCAGCATTTGTAATGTGCTACGCTGAGCAGCACATGCTCCCAAGCAAAGCTGAGGGGGCACCGAGCCAAACCCAGCCTTTACCAGGAAGGCAGAGCGCTATAATATATGGGAATACAAAAAGATTGATAGCAAGCACTCTGCTAATGTGCAGCCAATGACATACCGTGTATACACTTTGGTCATAGATTCACTGGGCTCTTTCTTAATCAGCAGAAAGATTAATCATGATATGCAAAGTGCAGTAAGCCATAATAACCAATCAGATTTCAGCTTGCATCATTTTAAAACAGTCAGATCAGTGGAATCTGACTGGTTGGAGTTTCAACACTTTAATCTTCCCTTTTAATATAAACCTGACACTTGGGCAGTATTGAAATATGTTTTGATTGCATGCTTAAAAAAGAATAAAAAAAAAAAAAGCAAATGTTTAAATTAACCAATGCTTTGCTGGGTGTGGCTTGTGATGCAGTTGGCATCTTTTTCCACTTCCTAGGAACATAAGGGAAAATAGTTGGACAGGAAAACACCTGTGTGATTAGGCTCTGATGGAAGCAGCCATTCCCTGAGTCATGTGCCGCATACTAGTTCCAGGGCAATGGCTCACTCAATGGGTTTAGCTTCATTGCCTAAGAACTAGTATGCGGCACATGTGTCGAGCAATGACTGCTTCCATCAGAGCCTAATCACACAGGTGATATGCTACGGAACAGATTTCCTTTAAGTATCATGCACAGGCAGTTAGGTTTGTATACCGTATCATGCATTTTGTAGAGCTGTATGTGTAGTTTTTAGTAAACCACTGTGAGTTGTGTGCAGCCACCTATATGCAAGGCAATTCCCATCCGGGACCCTACTCACCATGATGGAGAAGATCAGTGCCACTATGTTGACTGGCCAAACTGGGCAGAAAGCAGGAGAAGATGGCCAGGACCAAATAGTCAGTGGGCCTTCCTTGGTCCTGGGCAGTGGTGGTGGCTGTAGAAGAAGCCCTGGCAAGGCTACCCCTGCTTGGAGAGAGGGGGGCTGACTCCAGCTGCCCTGCGGACACTGACTTGTAGGGCAGGCTGTGCCCATTCTGGTCTAAGTCTCCTATGGACTTTTCGCTGGACATGGTGACCGAGAAAGACTTCTTCATGCCATTCTCTTCTTTAGCCTCATTTACAGAGGTGAGGAGTTTCTCAGTCTCATGTGCCTCTGCAGGAAGAGGGTTTCCTGAGCCCCCCAGTGCCTTTTCATACTGGGCATCTGTGTTTATGGCCATGACGGTGCTAGTCCTTTCCTCACAACTGCCTAATGCAGTATAGAATTCAAAAGAAAAGTAATAAACTTCTTACAAGCTGCTAAAATTCCATGGAGCCAGTTGGAGAAGTATCTCGTAGAAGTGGCAGTCTGAGGATCTTTTGTGAGAGGAGATGCTGATCACAGGCAGTGGAGCTGAATGGAGAGTTGGGTGGTGTAGGATCCTGGATGAGGCTCTGTTTGCTAGATCTGCTGCAGACTGCTGTTGCCCTGCCCCAGTCTCTGCTAAAGGCTTCTCAAGTGGAATCGTCCTCTCAGGACAAACCAAGTCAGATGCTGGCTAGGCTGATGACACAAGCAGATTATTGCAGTTTTCACACTAAGCAGCATCACAGGATTCTCCTGGGTGTTAACTGAGGAATTCCTCTACTTCATAGCTCTGTTATACAGTCATTTATTGCCGGGAGATTTTCACTGACATTGTTCTGAGACTTTGTGCACTTAACTGTCACTCTCTGCTGCTTCTGAATTAAGTCTGTGTATTTTTTTACTTAAATATAAATCTAGCCATGCAGATTTGCCTGCCCTGCATTTTGTCATATACTTGTATTATTAAATAAAGTCTCAGAATAAAAAAAAAATAGAGTTTATTTTTGTATATATAGCATTGGATTAACTATTAAAGTGGACCCCGCACCAAAATACAAGGTGATGTTGATAGGTCCCGCACTTCCCATTTAAAACAGCTATGAAAAAAAAAACAGGAAGAAAAAAAGGAAGATGTATATATACTCTGATTTTTAGCCCACTTGCCTAGGTGCCACTACCTCCCCATAGAATCCTAGGAAAGTCCAGGATCTCACACCTTAAAATAATGTGGTCCAGGGGGCTTAGCAAAATGGTGATAATGATATTTTGGTGCATGTTCCATTTTATGGTGACCAAAACCACAAATACGTTATGTTGTAGCTTACCAATCATCAGATGTTGTGGCTGCATTAGTTTTATTTTATTTGGCCACTATTTCTCTTTTGTTTTCACCTGGTTATTTGGCCAGTAATACAACCCCTGTATTAGTGAGACACACTGGGGGAGATTTACTAAAATTGGCACACTCTGAATCTGGTTCAGCTGTGCATGGTAGCCAATCAGTTTCTAACTTCAGCTTGTTCAATTAAGCTTTGGCAATAAAACCCGGCAGCTGTTTGGTTTCTATGCACAACTGCACCAGATGTTGCACTCTTCTGTTTTAGTAAATCTCCCCCACTGAGCACAGGAGGCACAGCAAACAGCAGCATTGTCAGTCTGGGGAGAGGGTAGCGTTAAAAGTATTAGCAGATTTAAATACATTAAACAAACTGAGGCCAAACTCCAGCTAATACTTTATAATCAGTTACAGTAAACATTTTTTTTTTTCTTTTGGGATACAGGTTTTCCATGAATAAATTAAAGCTGATCATTTTAATCACCCCTGTCAATGTCAAGTGGTTTGTCTCATCCATGTAAACTGATACATTCTGCTGGAGAGCTTGAGCATCTGAAAAACAACAGACTTGCTGGCTGGATCACCAGATGAATACAGAAGAAATAAAACCTAAACAGGAAACTAATACAGCCATTACATCTAAGAATTGGTAAGCTGCAGTACAATAAAGGTTTTTTAACTGAACCGACCCAGACTGTGCTTGAGTACTGACATCCAAAAGGCTGACGCGTTTCGAGGACTTGCCTCTTCCTCAGACTGAGGAAGAGGCAAGTCCTCGAAACGAGTCAGCCTTTTGGATGTCTAAACTCCCTATTGCGGACTGTTACTCTGCGCGGTGTTAACCCAGCTGTTCTTTATGATGTGCCTTGACTATATTGTCGTTTGTGAGTACAACACCGATTTTATTTTTTATTAAACATTTTTTATGGTAATGGACTAGGCCTGTGCGCCCTCTGTTTTGTCTTTCCTCATTCAGTATATTTAGATTCCCCCGGTCCATTTGAGGGCAGCAAGGTGTGCATGTTCCAGGACATTCTTAATGTGGTTGTAGCCTGCATCGAGTCCATCCCCAAGCGCAGGAGCATTTGTGTTTGCTGGTTCTTTGTGCTTGAGTACTTCCGTTAGAATACCGCTACACCAAACACTGACAACAGATACCACAGCCGACCATACAAGACTAGACGACACCAGTCTGTCTGAACATGGAACTCTTTATTTGAACACAGATACAAGATATATTCACTCAGGGGACAATCCCCCTTCCTGTATAATGACACAGAGCGGAGCAATCTATATTTAGTAACAAGAGACACACAGGTATTCAAACTTCACACCAGCAGACAGTCCCATCAGGAGGGAGGGCTGCTGGAGACCCCCCCCCCACTAAGCTAATACACATAAAACATATACATCCTATAATAGTTTGCTCCCAAGCCAAACAATAGAACAATGGGATGCAGCCACATAACAATAAACAATCAACAACCCCCCACCTCACCTATCTCTTAAACATGTCTACACAGTCTGAGACAAAGCCCACACAATATTAGGACAGATCACCCTGTACCCCTAACAGGCACAGGATGATTTACACATACGAGGGATATGGGGAGCTGAGACAGGGGTCTCCCTACCTCTCCAAAGTGAGCTGGGTTCCTTAGGCCCCCCATCCACAGTGACTCCTGTCACATATCTCCCCTTTTGGCAGGGGACTAACAGAAGGAGAAGACCCCAAACGGGTTGACTCTGAAGTTAGTCTATACTTCCAGTACCCTAAGCAAATTGTCCCACACAAAGCATTACTCACGCAGCCAACCTCTGCCTCTCTTGTAGAACATACAACGTCCTTCTCCCTAAAGTCCTCTCAGCCACTGGAAAGAAGACAGGGTGGCTGGGCCGACTCCATCATGCTGCTGGGGATCTGGGCAGACTGCCCAGCATCCCTGGGGTATCTAGGTGGTGATTGTAGTCTCATCCACTTTGACTTGATGGACATCCCCCAGTGTTCGCAATGTTCGCAAAGTAAGGCTGACATCCTCCTGTCCAGACCCTTTTCTAGGGTTGTATCAGTGGAAACCAAAGTCTCATCCACAGACATCCACAGACCTCAGCTCAAGCTGCAGTTGTGAGGTACCGAATGCATCCTCTTCCTGTAGCTCCTGCGGTGCTGATTGTTGTGGGCAGAGGTCAACAACACCATGCCCTGATGCCAGCTCTTCTGCTGGAGGCGCACCGGCTAGTTCCTCCTCAGCAGAAAAGTCAATCAAATCGCCAGTCTCTGGAACTGGTGTCTGCGGATAGTGGTACACCATCTCCTGTCCTTGGAACCCAGAAGATGTTACCGGTGCTGGGCAGAGGCTAGCAGAGCTCTGCCCTTTTGTCAGCTCTTCAGGCTTGGGGACGGCAAGCTCTGGAATTTCCACTGTCGATTCTTGGGTATGCTGCTGAACATGTTTTAGCAGTTGCCTGTGTGCCCTTTCCAAATGCTGTTCTTTCATCAGCAGGTATTCCAGATCTGGTTCAAGCTCTGAGACCCCTGTAAGACCGAACATAGCCTCTCTGTATTCTCGCAGGTCCTCAAGGGTAGGTTCTCCTTCATTGCCAAACACAAAATGATCTGTAAGGCTCTCCCAGAGCAGTCCAGGGCCACCAAAGTCATATCCCTCCAGAGAGCATTCTGTTGTCACCCCTAAATATTTCTGCTCTGCGTGCCACTGCACTGCCTGATATCGGCTGTCCAGCTCTATCTCCTGCTGGACCAGCCTGTCCAACTCAGTCACCCATTGCTCCTGAGGTCGTTCTCCCAGGAATGGTATCCGTAACTTCCGTTGGTCCCTGGCCCGTTGCCCTGGGGTTGGATAGCACTTGCCCTTGTACATACCAGCAACCTGCAGGGCTCCACTCCAAAGCAACACCCGAATCTACTGCCTGAGCTCCAGGTACTCATCCACAGACACAGTCCTGGGGTATGTTGCAAGAATGATCCGCAGCAGCCCCAGGAACTCTGATGTCAGGTCCATATCTCAACTGGGGTGACCGACGTCTACTTTCCTGATCTTGAATCCCGGTGGTGGTTTGGATGTGTTCACAGCCAGGAAGCACAATCCCACTGCTGCCACCAATGTAACGGAACGGACCCAGACTGCGCTTGAGTACTTCTGTTAGAATACCACTTCCCTGTCCGAACACCGACAACAGGAACCACATCTGACCATACAAGACTATTATTATTACAGGTACTTATATAGCGCCGTCAATTTTACGCAGCGCTTTACATATATATTGTACATTCCCATCAGTCCCTAACCCTCAAGGGGCATACAATCTAAGGGCCCTAACTCCCATCCTTACATACACACATACTAGGGCCAATTTAGACAGCATCCAATTAACCTACCAGCATGTCTTTGGAGTGTGTGAGGAAACCGGAGTACCCGGAGGAAACCCACGCAGTCACAGGGAGAACATGCAAACTCCAGGCAAGTGGTGCCGTGGTTAGGATTTGAACCAGCGACCCTAGTACTGCCAGTTGGAAGTGCTAACCATTTAGCCACTGTGCTGCCCAGACTAGACGACACCAGTCTGTCTGAACATGGAACTCTTTATTTGAACACAGATACAAGATATATACACTCAGGGGACAATCCCCCCTACCCGCATAATTACACAGGGCAGGGCAATCTACATTTAGTAACAAGAGACACACAGGTATTCAAACTTCACACCAACAGACAGTCCCATCAGGAGGAAGGGCTGCTGGAGACACCCCCCCCCCCCACTAAGCTAATACACATAAACACATACATCCTATAATAGTTTGCTCCCAAGCTAAACAATAGAACAATGGGATGCAGTCACATAACATTAAGCAATCAACAACCCCCACCTATCTCCTAAACATGTCTACACATTCTGAGACAAAGCCCACACAAAATTAGGACAGATCACCCTGTACCCCTAATAGGCACAGGGTGATTTACACCTAAGAGGAATATGGGGACCTGAGATGTAGTCTCCCCACCTCTCCAAAGTCAGCT